AGCTTGCAGTGAGCCGAGATCATGCCATTGCACTCCAGCCTGGGCGACAGAGCAAGACTCCGTCTCAAAAAAAAAAAAAAAAAAAAAAAGAATATTTGGAAGAAATAAGTTCCTGTGGGCTGGGCGGTCCTGTAATGACCACAAACTGGGCTCCACTGTAGGATCTGCTGCCTTCTAGAAACGAAACCCATGATCTCACCCAGACCTGGACTCCTCCACTGTAAAACGGGAAAAATAATGCTTATCACATAGGGTTCTGGTAGGAAGCAATGAACTAACAATGCCTAAGTAGACATGTAGTAAATGCCATATATCATCATTATTATTAAAACAAGAATTCCGATTTTCAATTCCAGGCACATGCTATGCAGCCCCTCCTCCAAACAAAACTCACAGGGGACTTGAAGTCAGATGCTATGCTACATACAGGAGAGACCTAGCCGCTCTGGCTCACCCCAGGGCACCAGGCCCAGATATCAGTGAGGACTCCAGCAGGCATTTCTACAAGTCAACTAAGACAGTCTCGGGCCCTCCCAAAGAATGTGGGCCTCTGAGAACTAAAGGTGAGCAGGAAGGACACAATCACTATGCCCTCAGGTCCTACAATTCCTGCCGAGAATTCCTTCCAGAATTTACCTTCAAGAGCAGTTCCCTTGAACTGCACTTTTGCATGTCCTCAGCCTCTGGCATCACACTTTGAGGCCCCAGAGAGACTGTTCGACTGGACCCATATGATGAGTTGAAAATTACTATTTTCAGCCGGGCGCGGTGGCTCAAGCCTGTAATCCCAGCACTTTGGGAGGCAGAGACGGGCGGATCACGAGGTCAGGAGATCGAGACCATCCTGGCTAACACGGTGAAACCCTGTCTCTACTAAAAATTACAAAAAACTAGCCGGGCGAGGTGGCGGGGGCCTGTAGTCCCAGCTACTTGGGAGGCTGAGGCAGGAGAATGGCGTGAACCCGGGAGGCGGAGCTTGCAGTGAGCCGAGATCTGGCCACTGCACTCCAGCCTGGGCGACAGAGCGAGACTCCGTCTCCAAAAAAAAAAAAAAAAAAGAAAATTACTATTTTCAGTGAAGGACCAAGTTTTCATTTCAATGTGAAAAAAGCCCCAAATATGCAACTTGGCTCTGTAACTAATAATAATTGATTTTGTATTTTATTTCATTTTATTTTAAGATGGAGTCGCACTCTATCCCTCAGGCTGGAATGCAGTGGCGCCATCTTCACTCACTGCAACCTCCACCTCTCAGGTTCAAGCAATTCTCCTGCCTCAGCCTCCTGAGTAGCTGGGATTATAGGAACCCACCACCACCCCCAGTCATGCCCAGCTAATTTTTTTTTTTTTGTATTTTTAGTACAGACAGGGTTTCACCATGTTAGCCAGGCCTGTCTCGGACTCCTGACATCAGGTGATCCGCCTGCCTTGACCTCCCAAAGTGCTGGTATTACAGGTGTGAGCCACCACATCTGGCCCAAATACATTTTGAACTCAAATATTATTAGGCCGGGCACAGTGGCTCATGTCTGTAATGCCAGCACTATGGGAGGCTGAGGTGAGTGGATCACCTGAGGTCAGGAGTTCGAGACCAGCCTGGCCAACGCGGTGAAGCCTCGTCTCTACTAAAAATACAAAAATTTGCTGTGCATGGTGGTGCATGACTGTAGTCCAGCCTAGGGAGGCTGAGGAAGGAGAATCAGTTGAACCTGGGAGGCAGAGGTTGCAGGGAGCTGAGTTCACACCACTGCACTCCAGCCTGGACAACAGAACAAGACTTCCCATCTCAAAAAAATAAAAAAAGTATATGTACATATATATATATATGGATCTAAGGAAGGAGAACAGATAAATCCGGTAAATATTTTCACTTGCTAGGAAAGCAAAGCCCTTTCTCCCATCTCTACCCAAAAGTAAATAATTTCTTTTCTTCTCTGGAAAATAACAAAATATATCAGGCTGAAGTTAATATTATCAGTACTGTTATCTGTGAGTCCTACATCTCCATAGATTTATCTTGTTTTTTTTTTCTTTGCAAATATGAAAAAATATTTTAAAAAATAGAAATAAGATAAGTACCTGCTCCATTCCTTTTGATTTTCTGGATTTCACATGAGCCACATAAACGTGACATCACCTGTGACTCTAAAGGTCCAAGTGTTCAGAAACAGATTACGATCACAGCTCACACGTTTAACAAGAATTTGAAAGGCAGATTTTGGAAAGGTAAAGATCAAACAATATCTTTGTGAGTTTCAAAAATACTATTTCCAGACCATCACTTGAGAAACTGAATATTATTTTGGTTACAGATCACATAAGATCTTTTGTAGTTTATTTATTTATTTTTTTTTGAGACGGAGTCTCGCTCTGAGGCCCAGGCTGGAGTGCAGTGGCCAGATCTCAGCTCACTGCAAGCTCCGCCAACCGGGTTCCCGCCATTCTCCTGCCTCAGCCTCCCGAGTAGCTGGGACTACAGGCGCCCGCCACCTCGCCCGGCTAGTTTTTGTATTTTTTAGTAGAGACGGGGTTTCACCGTGTCAGCCAGGATGGTCTTGATCTCCTGACCTCGTGATCCACCCATCTCGGCCTCCCAAAGTGCTGGGATTACAGGCTTGAGCCACCGCGCCCGGCCAATCTTTTGTAGTTTAAAAATAAGCTTTTTTTTTTTTTTTTTTTTTTTTTAAATCTTTGTGTTACCCTGACATCTTCTGGCCAAAAGAGAGTGCTGCACATCAACAGTTGAACATTCTCAAGCTCATTCTCACAAGTGGCAGAATGTGAGAGCGGTCTCACATTCTGTGAGACTTCAAGAGCGGTCAAGATCACCCATCTCTATAAACTGCTTAGCCCTGTTACAGCATAGCCCTTCAGCTTCCACTGAGAATTTCACTGAGTAGATGAACTTGCAGTTTGCCCTTTAAGAAAATGCACTAACAGAACAGAAGAAAAATAAAAGTTATATTCTGTAGAGCCTTTTTTTTTTTTTTGGAGAAAAGTCTTTAATTTGATTCAATTTTTTTTCTTTTTTTATAGAGGAGGGTATCACTCTTTCACCTAGGCTGGAGTGTGGTGCATACTCATAGCTCACTGCAGCCTCAAACTCCTAGGCTCAAGTGGATCCTCCCACCTCAGCCTCCCAAGTAGCTAGCACTACAGGCACAGGCCACTACACATGACTAATTTATTTATTTTAATTTAATTTTATTTATTTATTTTGAGATGGAGATTTATTTATTTATTTGTTTATTTAGAGACGGAGTCTCACTCTGTCACCCAGGTTGGAGTGGCATGATCTCAGCTTAAGGCAAACCTCCACTTCCTGGGTTCAAGTGATTCTCAGCCTCCCAAGTAGCTGGGATTACAGGTGCCTCCCACCACACCCAGTTAATTTTTGTATTTTTAGTAGAGATGGGGTTTCACCATGTTGACCAGGCTGGTCTCAAACTCCTGACCTCAAGTGATCCTCCCGCCTCAATCTCCCAAAGTACTGAAGTGCTGGCATTACCGGCATGAGCCACCGTGCCCTGCCTTAATTTTTTTTAGATGGAGTTTCGCTCTTGTTACCCAGGCTGGAGTGCAATGGTACGATCTCAACTCACTGCAACCTCCACCTCTGGGATTCAAGCAATTCCCCTGCCTCAGCCTCCCAAGTAGCTGGGATTACAGGCGCCCACCACCACGTTCAGCTAATTTTTGTATTTTTAGTAGAGACAGGGTATCGCTATGTTGGCCAGGCTGGTCTCGAACTCCTGACCTCAGGGAATCCACCCACCTTGGCCTCTCAAAGTGCTGGGATTATAGGCATGAGCCACCACACCCAGCCAATTTTTTTTTTTTTTTTTTAAACTTAACTTGGGCCGGGCACAGTGGCTCAAGTCTGTAATCCCAGTGCTTTGGGAGGCCGAGACGGGCGGATCACAAGGTCAGGAGATCGAGACCATCCTGGCTAACACGGTGAAACCCCGTCTCTACTAAAAAACACAAAAAACTAGCCGGGCGAGGTGGCGGGTGCCTGTAGTCCCAGCTACTCGGGAGGCTGAGGCAGGAGAATGGCTTGAACCTGGGAGGCGGAGCTTGCAGTGAGCTGAGATTCAGCCACTGCACTCCAGCCTGGGCAGCACAGCAAGACTCCGTTTCAAAAAAAACAAAAACAAAAACAAAAAAAAAAACACATTAGCCGGGTGTGGTGGCACACACCTGTAGTCTCAGCTACTCAGGAAGCTGAGGTGGAAGGATTGCTTAAGCCCAGGAATTCCAGGCTATACTGAGCCATGAAGGTGCTACTGCCCTTCAGCCTGGGTGACAGAGCAAGGCCCTGTCTCAGAAAAAATAAAATAAAATTTAAAAATTCCCTCTCCCTATCCTCAAATATCAAATAGCAACAGCATTTCTATCTTTATGAGATGAGTAAACCATCTGATAACAAAAGAGAGTATAATTCCACATTTCACACATGCTATCAGGATACCATGTTCATAACAAATAACAGATTTCAAATGAAAATTAAAGCTGTATATTTCATAAGAAAAGCTTTTTTTGTTTTTTTTTGAGATGGAGTCTTGCTGTGCTGCCAGGCTGGAGTACAGTGGCACGATCTCAGCTCACTGCAACCTCTGACTCCCTGGTTCAAGTGATTCTCCTGCCTCAGCCTCCTGAGTAGCTGGGATTACAGGCACGTGCCACCATGCCCAGTTAATTTTTGTATTTTTGGTAGAGACTGGGTTTCACCATGTTGGCCAGGCTGGTCTCGATCTCCTGACCTCGTGATCCGCCTGCCACAGCATCCCAAAGTGCTGGGATTACAGGCGTGAGCCACCGCGCCCGGCCAAGAAAAGCTTTAAGACATTAAGGTGATCCAAATTTTAGTGGTTAGAACACATATCACCCTTACAAAAATGAGAGAATATATTTGATTCTAAAATCAAACTTCACATAATCTTTCTGCTGTCATTTTTGTCCCTCAAGCATCCAAGTAGCTGAGAGAAAACTGGACGTACCAGAGGAGTGTATCATTAACGCAAGTCTCTTGAGATGCCTTGTCGATCGGTAGATCAAGTTATAGCCTCGGTTTCTGATTTTGCTGTGGTGATACTGGATGTAGCACTCAAGGAGTAAATGGAGAATCCACAAAATAACTTTCCCAAGGATTATAACCGTCTGAACTTTCAGTGGGTTTGTGTAATTTCCTGGGCACTTGTCCTCATTTGGATTAGGATAAGAACAAAGCACACCTGTTAAAAATGCTAAAATAACAAACACAAGCTGAGGGAAAGGAGAGCAGAAAGATTAATTTCAATATTTGTAATTAGGAAACAATAACTACCATCCCAGCATGCATTCTTATACCTACAGCTTCCCCTATCCATTTTTATACATGAGTTTTTAAATGTATTTTCATTTTGTTTTGTTTAAATGTATTTTTGTTTTCTGCGTGAGATACAGTTGTGCCCTGTTGCCCAGGCTGGAGTACAGTGGTATCATCTCTGCTCACTGCAGCCTCAACCTCCTGGGCTCAAGAAATCCTCCTACCTCAGTCTCTGGAGTAGCTGGAACTACAGGCCCATGCCACCACACTTGGCCAATTTAAAAAAAAATTTTTATAGAGACAGGTTCTTGCTATGGTACCCAGGCTGGTACAGAGTATGTTATACAAAAAGTAAAAGGAAAGAAGAAAAAGAGGTCACCATCTGGAAACCACAGGGTCACCCCTGCACATGGTGGTACCAAGAAGAAGGCACTTCAGCTGGGATCTGGGGATCAGGAAGCCATGGTGGAGCCATACCACAGCTACTAGTGCCCTCAAGGAAAGGGGATACCACCTCTCTCCCCAGTGATTCAGTTCTGAACTCAAGACTCCCACAGTGCACTTCGCTGGAGAGGAATCCCAGCTGCAGGGGAAGCTAGGAAATGTACTGGGGGAAATGGTCCCTGCAGACAGGCAAATCCATCAGTAGGAGGCTGAGCAAAGGCTGAGCAAGTCAATCAACTCCATTCACAGTCCTCATAAATACTCAAGGAGTGGTGAGAATGAGCCCTCTTAATTTTTCACACTGCAGCAGAGAACAACCATAACCCCCAGTGCTTCTGACTGCAATAATTGAAATGGAGGAACTGATTAAACAGACCGGCAGTGGAGTCACCACTAGTGAGACCTGTGATAAGACTTTTCGCACATGTGCTTTTATAAACTCCAGATATTTGTAATTTTGTCATCATACAAAAATTGTACATATTATTCCACTGCAACTTGATTTGTCTGCTAAAACATTATTCCCTAGGTGTAAGTAAATTGATAAATTCCTGTGTCAACATATGTAGACTTTTCTGCATCTTTTTTGTAACTGAAAAAGTAATACATGCACATGGTTAAAAAATCAAGCAATATTCAAAAGTAAACAGTAAATTATATTAGTGTCTCTTCCACCAAGACTGTTAGTCCTCATTTCAGAGGCAACTAGGTCCGTGAATGCTTCTAGAAATATCTACTATATACAGGAAAACAGGTGCACACCAGCCCTCTCAACTCCCTTTTAAAAACTACAAATAGGAACATTCTGTACAAAAGGTTGAAAACTTGATTTTTTTTCACTCGACAATGTAATCATGAAGGCTATTCTATGTTAATATACTGTACACCTGTCTACCCCATTCTTAACAGTTGCATAGCATTTCCTTATATGAATGGGACACACTGTGTCCTCTGGATGCCAAGTAGTTTGTAGTCTCTTGATATGATAGACAACATGGCTATTATCAACAATATCTTTACATGTATGCAAATAATATCCACAATGAATTATTTGAAGATGCAAGTAAAAGTGTACGTACTTTTTTTTTTTTTGCCCATGACACAGCCCTCAGGATGTCCTAAAAACATGTGCCCTACATTTTAAATGTTGATAGATACAGCACAACTGCCCTCTGAAACATTTGCATAATTTTTACAAACATCACCTCTGGATAGATCCCCTTCTTCCAGCCAACTTACATGAATAAACCACAGAAGATTCACTATGATGACTGTAGGAAGAGGATGGAACCGGGGTCTAAAGTGAGCTTGTAATGAGTGATGTGGGAGAAGCTGGGCATCCAGAAGTGGGTCGTCTTCAATACTCTGGGTGATATCCAAGGAACCCTGGGGTGCAGAAAAACAGAAGCAAGCTATAATCACCACTTTCTAGATTATGTTTCTAAGACAAATCTACTAAACTATAAAACTTTTAAACCATATACAAATTACAGGCAAGAGAACACATTCCCTACTTGAATCCAATTTTTAAAAATTAATTTTTAAAAAATTGTAGAGACACAGTCTCGCTATGTTGCCCAGGCTGGTCTTGTTTGTATTTTGGTTTTTGTTTCTGAGACAGAGTCTTGCTCTGTCACCCAGGCTGGAGTGCAGAGGCGCAATCTGGGCTCACTGCAACCTCTGCCTCCCAGGTTCGAGCAATTCTCCTGCCTCAACCTCCTGAGTAGCTGGGACTACAGGTGTGCACCACCACATCCAGCTAATTTTTTTTTTTTTTTTTTTTTTTTTTTTTGAGACGGAATTTCCCTCTTGTTGCCCAGGCTGGAGTGCAGTGGCACAATCTTGGCTCACTGCAACCTCCACCTCCTGGGTTCAAGCGATTCTCCTGCCTCAGCCTCCTGGGTAGCTGGGATTACAGGCATGCGCCACCACGCCCGGTTTATTTTTTATTTTTAGTAGAGACGGGGTTTCTCCATGTTGGTCAGGCTGGTCGCAAACTCCCGACCTCAGGTGATCTGCCCGCTTTGGTCTCCCAAAGTGCTGGGATTACAGGCATGAGCCACCGTGCCCGGCACACACCCAGCTAATTTTTGTAGTTTTAGTAGAGACAGGGTTTCACTATGTTGGTCATGCTGGTCTCAAACTCCTGACCTCAGGTCATCCACCCACCTCAGCCTCCCAAAGTGGTGGGATTACAGGTATCAGTCACAGCGCCCGGCCCCAGGTTGGTCTTGAACCCTTGGCTGCAAGTGATCTTTCCATCTTAGCCTCCCAAATTGCTGAGATTACAAGTGTGAGACACCACACCCAGCCTAAAGCCAATTTAAAAAAATACTCTCCTATAAATAACTACTATATACATCTTAGTGAAAATAAGTTTTAAAATGGGTAGAGGAAATCTTAATTATATCTTCATCTCATAAACAAGGTAATATGTAAAGAGATTTAAGCAAATCATTTTTCTTCAAGCCTTAAAAACATAGATATTGATTTATTTAACATTACATATATTGTTGAAATAATTACATACAGTTGCAATCGTGTTTTTTTTTTTTTTTTAGATGAAGACTCACTTTGTTGCCCAGATTGGAGTGCAGTGGTGTAATCCCAGCTCACTGCAACCTCCATCTTCCAGGTTCAAGTGATTCTCCCGCCTCAGCCTCCTGAGTAGCTGGGATTACAGGCACCTGCCACCACAGTCAGCTAATTTTTTTGTATTTTTAGTAGATAGGGTTTCACCATGTTGGCCAGGCTGGTCTTGAACTCCTGACCTCAAGTGATTCCCCTGCCTCAGCCTCACAAAGTGCTGGGATTACAGGTGTGAGCCACTGCACCCAGTCCAGTTACAATTTTTAAAATAAGTTTTATTATGTCTATTTAAGATATATAACACATTATGGGATACATACAGAGAGTAAAAAGGTTACTATAGTGGAACAAATTAACATATCCAACATCTCACATGGTTATCCACTATTTGTGTTTGTGGCAACAGCAGCTAAAGTCTACTCACTTAGCATGGATCCCACATACAGTACAATTTTATTCCCTATAATCCTCATGTTGTACATAACTCCAGTAGACTTGCTCATCTTGCATATCTGCTACTTTGTATCCTCTGATCTACATCCCATTTCTTTCCTGGACCAGCTGCCCAAGATCTGTAGTTCTTAAACTGTCTCTGGTGGTTCCACAACATTTTGAAAAGTTGATGGAGGCTTTATTAAGAGTTCTTAAAACAAACTTTCCATTATGATAGAAATAGAATGGAAATGGATCACCCGGATTGGCCCTTGAGGAAACTTAGTTTGTAGATACCAGATTCTCAGTGAAAGCAACTAGAGTTGTAACGTCACCAAAGTACCCAACAAAAACTTAGTGCGTGGAGGCTGTCACCTAAAAATTTCAGCAAGTCACGTTTAAAGGTATGGTTTTGACAGGAACAGTTCTTCCAGGTCTCTGCTGCATAAAAATGAACCACAACAATCTCTCAATCTCAGACCCTTACTATAAACTATAATGTGTAACACTGTGCCTGGGGTAAAAGAATATAATGTGATTACGTTTTCATTGGGGGAGGTAAGAGATAAAGACATGAAGAACTAAACAATATGAGAATACACAATACAGTATAGTGCACAGAGATCTAATGACAGCATAGCAATTATAGTTAACAATACTGCATTGTAGGGCTGGGTGAAGTGGCTTATGCCTGTAATCCCAGCACTTTGGGAGGTCGAGGTGGGCGGATCACCTGAGGTCAGGAGTTCGAGACCAGCCTGGCCAACATGGTAAAATCTTGTCTCTACTAAAAATATAAAAAATTAGCCAGGCGTGGTAGCACGTGCCTGTAATTCCAGCTATTCAGGAGGCTGAGGCAGGAGAATCGCTTGGACCCAGGAGGTGGAGGTTGCAGTGAGCCGAGATTGTGCCACTGCACTCCAGCCTGGGCAACAGAGCAAGACTTCGTCTTAAAAATATGGATATATACTGCATTGTATATACTTTTAATTTGCTAAGAGTATAGATCTTAAGTGTTCTCACCACATGTTAAAAAAAAAAGAAAACAGAATATGGTGCATGGGAAGTACATAATAAGTCAGCAAATGAAAAGCACAGAAGACAATGACGGTCAGTTAATTGCACTACAATGAGACGGAAATGAAGGATTCATGAATAGGATTTGGCTACATAGAATGAGAGCTCTTTATTTTGGAAGAAGTAGGGAGTAGGAAAAATTATGTAAGGGATGGCTGTTGGTTGCTGAGATTACAAAGATAAGGACAGTAATCTGGGGTGTAACCTAGCTCTGGAGTGGGCTCCTCGATTTCCAGTAGCAGGTATTCAACACTGCTCTGCAACTGTTTTTGTTGTTGTTGTTTGGTTGGTTTGTTTGGCTTTTTTTTTTGAGATGGAGTCTTGCTCTGTCACCCAGGCTGGAGTGCACTGGCTCAATCTCAGCTCATTGCAACTTCTGCCTCCTGGGTTCAAGTGATTCTCCCGTCTCAGCCTCCTGAGTAGCTAGGATTAAAGGCAAGCGCCACCATGCCCGGCTAATTTTTGCATTTTTAGTAGAGATGGGGTTTCGTCATGTTAGCCAAACTGGTCTCGAACTCCTGACCTCAGGTGATCCATCTGCCTTGGCCTTCCAAAGTGCTGGCATTATGGGCATGAGCCACCGCGCCTGGCCAACTCTTTTATTCAATGCCTAGATTGCTTCCTGTTTAGTTTACCATAACTCATGGTACGATTCAGATTACTCCTGTTCTCTTCAAGACCCCTCTGCCTCTAGCTCATTCTCAGTCAGCAGATTTTGGAGCCTTGAGATCTACTCTTCCCTTAGCTAATGTCTATGCATTCTTTCATGCTCAGAAGGGGCAATTCCCACCACATGGCCTTTCTGGATACCCCTAATCTGGACTGTGCCACCTCCATGTTTTTCAAAGCATTCTGTGCTTGCCTCTTCTATCATAGTATCCTGTGATGGTCTTTTACTTATCTCTTTCCCACTAGACTTCATTGGACCCATTAACTTTACACCTCTTGTCTTTGTAATTCCAGCACTCAACACTGTCTCATGGTTGTCACTCAGCAAACATTTGCTAGATGAATGAATGAGTGCCCCAAACCTGTCTCCGCAGTATTTTCTAACTCAATTATGATCATCATCAAAGACCTGGGCTAATCAGAAGAGATTATCAGGACATACAGGGGATCAACTGTGACTAAAGGCAGTAAGAGCTTTGGTTAAGGGCAGGCTCCTAAGGGCAAACTGCCTGGATTCAAGCACAAGTTCTACTGCTTTCTAGCTGAGAGCAAGTTACTTCACCTCTCATGCCTCAGTTTCCCCATCTAAAAAGGAGACTAATAATAGCACCTGCTTTGTAGCTCTGTCAGGAATACTATATGAGTCACTACACATGCAAGTCCTCATAACACTGCCTGACACACAGAGAGTTTTCAATAAGTCTTAGCCACTATTATTTATTCTTTTCTCTTTTTCATATTTTTTAAATTTTAAAATAAAAATCAACAGGGTCTCGCTATGTTGGCCAGGTTGGTCTTGAACTCTTGGCCTCAAGCAATCCTCCCAAGTGGACTCGCAATGTGCTAAGATTACAGGTGTGAGCCATCACGCCTGGCCTTTTTATTAACTTACCTTTGACTTGCACCCTGCTGTGGTCTAAATGTTGGTGTCCCCCAATAGTCCCCTGCTTTCCTTTGGGAAGTAATTAAGCCATGAGGGTTCCTTGCTCATAAATGAGATCAGTGCCCTTAGAAAAGAGGCTCAAATGAGCTCCCTTCCACCTTCCACCGTGTGAGGATGCAGCAAGAAGGCGCCATCTTTGAAGCAGAGAGCAACCCCTCCCCAGGGCTCTTGGCACCTTGATCTTGGACTTCCTGTCCTCTAGAACTGTGGGCAATACATTTGTATTTGTAAATTACTCCATTTGTATTTTATTATAGCAACCCAAACAAAGACACTACCCCTATAATCATTACCATTCTATCCACTCAGTGCTGGGGCATGATAAAAAGAGAAAAAATTATTACCATTCTAACTCCTAAACCTGTTATTTGCTCTCTATTTTAACTATCTTAGTCCAGGCCCTCCCATTTCTCTTGGCCTTTTACTAGAAGTTTCCAGTCTCCTGGTCTTGGCAATCTCTTTCACTGCTGTCAGAATTCTTCCAAGACAAACATTCATGTTTCTCTGCTCAAAAACTTTGGGTAGCTCCCTGTGATGGCCAACATTAGGAGTCAAATGGATGGTAAAGTATTGTGTGTGAGGAGCCAAACATTTGAGTCAGTGGACTGGGAGAGGAAGACCCACCCTCAATAGGGGCGAGCACCATCCAATCAGCTGCCAATGCAGCTAGAACAAA